GGTTGGGGGGTTGGTCCGGTGGGTTTAATCCAGGGGGCATGGGAGAAGTTTTGTCGTGCCCTAACTCAGAGCGCGGGCACACGCTGGGCGCTGGGCATTCACACAGATGTCTCTAACAATATCATCCACTCACAAAGGAGGAGGCTGGTCTTGCAATTGCTCGGTTCAGAGAGCCCAGGCCATAAACCCCAAAATTCTGCCCAAGGACGCCTGCGGGTCAGCTTGCCCAGCGCCTCCTCTGCCTCACGGGAGACAGGAGGGGCCCTGCTCCCCCGCCGTGGTCCTGCCAGGTAGTCACCCATCCGTCGCAACTCTTTACCCGGGTCGTGGAAGACCACTTCGCCTCAGGATCGGCGGACACACTGCCCACAAAGGCATCTTGTGGCCCTGGGAGCCTCGCCCGAGCCAGCGTAGTCGCACGGTTCCAAGTCCCGCCGGGCGATCCCGTCCGTCCCCCGAGACCCGGGAGGGAGCCCCACTGCGGGCGACCCCGCCGCTGCCTACCTCCGGGTCCTCGGCTCGCCGGGGACACGGCCCATACTCCTCCAGCTGAGACGCTCGTTTGTCACCTGGCCTTCCTGGGAGGCATGATGTTTTTTGCATCCTGAGGCGTGTCCCAGAAGGGTGCGTCCTGCGCGCGCCCACGGGGCAGGGGGCTGGCCTGGGCGCGCCCTGCAGGGGCGACCAGCTACAGGACAGGCCGGGCGGCAGGTCCCAGACCCTCCCACCCCAACACCACGCAGTGGGCGGTGGGAAGAGTGGTACTGGGTGGGCTGTGTGACCCGAAGTCCAGTGGGCTCCCAGCTGGTGTAGACGCCAGTGTGGAAAGACCTGCCTGCGGCTCGCTTGGTGGTCCACAGGCTTCACCGCTGGAAACGGAGGGGCGCGACCAGTCACCTCCGAGGTCCTCAAGGCTCTGAGCTGGGACGCCCTGGAGATCAGCCCAAGGTGTGAGGAGGCGGTGCCATCGAAGGCACGTATCCTGGGCAGGCCGCTCTCTCCGTGCTTCCTCCCTCAGGTTTTCAGTGGTTGTGTCTGGCTTTGCTGGCCCTTATATCTCGGCATGGCCAACAATCCGAGGACAAAACACAGTTTTATGCAATCAACAGATATTGGTTACATGATCAGATAGTGATACAGAAGTATATTCTGGAAATTTTGCAAGGCCTGATCTACCAGGTATCTGCCATCTCTCTGGTGGTTTATTTTTGCAGTGCTGGAGGTGGAGCCCAGGCCCCGCCTACCTGCTAGGCAAGTGCTTTGCCATAGAGCTACACCTCCAGCCCTGGAGCTAGTTCTTTAAAAGTCCCAGCCTAGCCGGGGTGTGGTGGCAGTCACCTGTAATTCCAGTGACTCCGGAAGCTGAAGCAAGAGGATTACAAGTTTGAGGCAGCCTCAGTAACTTAACAAGACCCTGTCCCAAAATAAAAAATAAAAAGAACTGGGGATACAGTGTGATAGTAGAAAGGGTTCAATCTCTAGTATCCCCACCACCAAAAAAAAAAAAAAAAAAAAAAAAGTTCCAGCCTGTGTTTACCTTCCCCAGGGGGGAACAGGAAAGCAAAGTTGGCTGAGTGGATGAATATGACCATAACTCAGAGTGAGAACCAGCTGGCCTCCAGAGAGAGAGAGAATATGGAACAAGCTGCTGGGCTTTCCAAGAGAAAGGAAGCCCTTTCCTGAGGTTCTGCCCAGAACAGGACAGCGAACCCCTTGCAATGCCTTCTGGCTCAAATTGGTGTTCTAAAGATAGTTCTAGATGGCATAGTGCTTGCCTCTCTCTCTCTCTCTCTCTCTCTCTCTCTCTCTCATCAAACTGGTGCTTTGTGTATAATTTAGTTGTGAAAGTTAAAACATGGCTGACATGGTGGCACAAGCCTGTTATCCCAGCAGCTCAGGAGGCTGAGGCAGGAGGATTGTGAAGCCAGCCTCAGCAACTTAGTGAGACCCTGTCTCTAAATAAAATATAAAATAAGGGCTGGGGATTTTGTTCAGTGGGTAAGCAACCCTGGGTTCAATCCCTGGTACCAAAACAAAAAAGCAACTTAAAGCCAGGCACAATGGCCATGCCTGTAATCCCATCAGCTCAGGAGGCTGAGGCAAGAGGATCACAAGTTCAAAGCCAGCCTCAGCAACAGCAAGGTGCTAAGCAACTCAGTGAGACCTTGTCTCTAAATTAAAAATAAAAATAGGGGGCTGGGGTTGTGGCTCAGAGGTAAAGCTCTCACCTACCGTGTGTGAAGCACTGGGTTCCATCCTCAGCACCACATAAAAAATAAAATAAAGATATTGTGTCCACTTATAACTAAAAAATAATATTTAAAAAATAAAAATAAAAATAGGGCGGGGATGTGGCTCAGTGGGTGAGTTTAATCCCTGGTACCAAAAATAAATAAATAAATAAATAAATTAATTAATTAAAAAGTGTTTCCATTCTGTATTCACTTATGAATTGTCTCCGAGTACTGCAATACTAAAATACTATGCACATTATGAAAGAGACACAAATGAATACTTTAAAGGGTATTGATGAGTGTAGGGCTGGAGTTGTAGCTCCGTGGTAGGGCACCTGCCCAGCATGTGTGAGGCACTGGGTTCGATCCTCATCATCACATTAAAAAAAAAAAAAAAGATATTGTGTCTGTCTACAATTTTAAAAATTTTAAAAATTAAAATGAATGTAAATATCCAATATTCTCATTGTGTACCCAGAGAGACTGCCACATGGTGTGCTCTCTGGAGACCTAGGAAATCTAGGCTTCACAGGCTAGATACCTGAAGGTGGAGGCAGCCATTGGGCATCGCTTTCCTATGGCCATTGGCACAACTACCTGCCCAACAGATCTTGACTTCAGTGTGATCTTTGTTCTCTTCTATGACAGGAGCACTAGCTCCCTCAAAGCCTTGTCTGAGATGAGAGCTTTGTTCTAGGGGACTATGGGATTAACTGTCTTGCCGTGGCATGGCATGGGCTGCTGGCGTCCTGTCCCTTATTACTAGCTGGAGTTCCACAGTCCTCTGGCCACTTACCAGCCTGAGAGTCCTCCTACTTCCTTCAGGCCTTCTTACTTCATTCACTCCTGGTGCTGTTTTGGTTTTAATTAAAGTTCTCAGTTTTAAACCACAGAAACTAAATCTGGCAACTCTAAGTAGAAAGAAATGAGTTTTGTGGGAAATACTTGTTAGTTCCCAGGAGCTCTGGAAGGGGAGGGGAATCAGTTCTAGAGAGGTCACACAGTAGAACTGACTGGTGAAGACCCTACTGCCTCTGCTGGGCACATCAGCAGCTGTAGTACCAAGTTGGGCCTGGAGCTGTCTGAAGGAGCTAAGCCACATTCCCAGGCCGTAGCTGCAAGGAAGACTGGGAAAGCAAAGCAGAAAGGGCATTTTCAGCTTCTTTCAGGAGAGACAGGCTCTGTTTGGGAATACCACTGAACAGGAAGAGGGCTGGGATATGAGGTAGCTCAAAGAATGACCCATATTCATTGCAAAAAGCCCCTGGTACATCCAGGATTTAGGGCCACAGTGCTAGTGTTAGCAGCCTGCCCTCTCCCCCGACCCACCCACCACTATACACATACATAGCCAAGGACTCACCGGCCATTGGATTCTGTGCAGCTTGAAGTGAGTAATAGTGTAGCCCTATGCAAAGGCTTTGCTTGTAGCTGAGCCCTCTGAGTGTTTGCAATAAATTATCTAATTTCTTGGAACAGTAGAGCAGTTGTGAGGCAGGGAGCTCATGACTGCTGTCTACTTGCTGTCCATGTGGCCCTGGACAAATCCATTAACCTCAACCTTAAGGTTGCTGTGGAGGGTTCAATGAAACAATGGATGTGAAGTTAATAGCACAATGCATAGGAAAAAATAGGGATTCCCTGGG